TTGTGACTGACACGTGCATATTGATTTCCTTTAATATATAATATTGTTTTGATGTCCAAGTTGCAATTACCAATTGGCTGGTGTAATTAGTGGATCTTGATTCTTGCCTCCATTTTTTATTTGGCTGAGAAATAATTTATGTGTTTGATCTGCAAATTGCATAGAGTGCTGCTGGAACACGCGGTGGCTGGATTCGTAACCCACTGCGGCCGGAGCTCCATCCTGAAGGGTGTTATGCGCGGGATGCCGATGATCGGGTGGCCGACCTACATGGAGTAGAGAATGAACATGGTGTTCACGGTGGAGAAGATAGGGGTAACGCTGCCGCTGGATGACAGGGACGAGGAGTTCGTTGTGGCGGCGGAGGAGAAAAAGTGGGTACATTGGTTCTTTCTCTTCGTATGCCATATTTTGTATGCACTTTAACTGTGCTTTGTGCGTGTTTATGTGGTTCTTGTGGATATGGTGAAAAGGTAAAATCGTTATTGTTCGTGCATGATGGAAATAATGACTGGTTTAGGCATAAACTGGCTGAAGAGTTTCGAAAAAAGTCACTGATGGTTCATGGTGAAGCTGGAGAATCTGTCATAGCCTCTATCCCATTTCAGGTCACCTTACAAATGCTAACATGTCTGGATTTTGGGCTATCGGATCTTCGAAAGTTTTGTTACATTGTATCTGGTTGATTGCGATTATTTTCGATTCTTGATTATGGTTATGAACTGCTTGGTAAATAGTAAGGGCTTCTTAGCATGTAAATGTGTTTTCACTGGTAATTTAGATATTATGAGGGGGAAGTTGGTAATTTCTGCATAATCGCTTACTAGCCCTGTGTGGGGGCAAAAGAACTTGATTTCAATCTAATAATGCTAAATTTAAATTGTCTGTAGATGATTAATTTTCCAAGGTGGTTGCAAGTGTAATTCACATGTAACTTAATGGACCCGAGAAACAAACAAATACGAACTATATTTTTAGCAAATATATTAAAATATTTAGATATCGACTATAAGAAAAAATTGAGTTTCTTCACGCGTTGAAAATTTTGGTAATCTTAGGTCCTCATTAGAGTTCTTGATTTATCTCTTTTGTAACCTTCTTGATGCATAATGTAGATTACGAAAGATCAGCTCGATTACCTGAAGAGCTTACGAGATTAGATACCAGACAATCGCCAGAGCCAATTGTTGAATATGATAAGCAAAATCTGCCCTTTCAGCTGCCTTTGCTAAATACTCTGACCGGATTCAACACAAGAGACATGCACCTGTTCCGGATGAGAAAGGACACAATTTTGAATGATAATAATGGTCAATAATAGTCGAGATGTTTTAGGGAGATAGAAATCAAGAGAGACTGTAACATGTAATAGCTATCATACACTTCTATGTGAATTTGTATACTTGTGATAATATCCAGAAATCTTTCCTCACGGTAGGACTTAGGAGGGATCATAATCTTGACAGTGAGAATTAGGATTTTGATTTAATTCCTAATTCATTCTTGATCAGTGGAATGTCAAGACTTTAATCAGTGTTTAAGAAATTAATCTGTTGTGGTTTTAAGAAATATAAAACAAACTAATAAATTGTGATATATATATCTAATAACTCAGAAACTATCAGGAGTTCCAAATTTTAAAGCTTGTGGCTGTCATTGTTGTCTGTTCAGATCACTAAACATTTTTTGCAGGACTTCACATTAGTTTCCCATGCGCTCTCCTTTAACGGTAAAAAAAAATAAAAATAAAAAAAATATAAATGTTTGTTTTTCATTGTAAATATTCTCTAGGATGCCCTTATATTGTTGCTGTTTAACCTGTTTATGAACCTATAAGGGTAGTCAACATGTTTGGTCGACAAATGTTGAAGCTGTGGGAATGCAATATCGAGCCAAGGCTTTGCTCGGCCATTAGCCTTGGCTCGACCATTGAAATGGATGACACGTACATGAGCATGGAAAGCTTTAAGCTCAGGAGGTATGTTCTCTAGCTGCCATAAGCTCAGTTCTAACTTCAAATTCTGCATTTTGAAAGCATCATAAGAGAATCGATAGAGCTTCTTCTTCTGCTTCGTCACGAGTGCGCTGTACTTGGGGCTGAAATCCTGCAGCTTAGCAACAATAACATGTGGTTTTTAAGCTTTGTAGTTCTCATCCTATTTCTATTAAGATTTCGTTTTATCTGCCAGTCAAATCTTTTTGCACATAGATTATAAGAACATAATTTATTGTGTAGTTGCATTAACAAGACTACTTCGCACCTCTTGTGAATGTGCAAAGTGTGTGCATTATCTATATACATATAAAAAGGTTTGACATTTACCTGAAATAGTAATTGAATTCCCGCCTAATAATTCGATTTTACCTTTTATAGTAAATTTTTGAAAAAAATTCTTGAAAAAGTTGCGATTTTTTTTAAATTCAAATAAAAAAAATCAATTTAATAGGTGTACAAAAAGTGTGCATTGTCCGGCTTACAAAGGAAAGTAAATAAGTATAATTGGTATACATGATCTGGTCCAATAAAAGTAAAATATTTCTCATGATCCTCCAAAATAT